TAACAAAAGTAAGCATGACTAAAGTCACTCAAGGAAATATATAAAGGTGAACTAAGGAGGGGAGTAGGTAGGATGGAGGAACGAAGAAGGAGGAATGAAGGAAGGAGAAAGAAGGAAGTAGAGAGAGGAAAGACTCCATCATAACTTCTGGATCAGTCAACAGGCTGAACCTCTTTCCTCCTCTCCGGTCAGGATGCTGCCTAAGCAGACTCCTCAAGGTTGAGCCCTCTCCCATCTTCTGAGGTGAGTGATGATTGCACATTTGTACACTAAGCACTAGCTCAGAATCCCGCACTGCAATAGAGAATTTCCTGAACTGACATTCGAAACCTGTTCTCTAAATGTTGCCTTTGAAGAAATCGTGCTACTTGTGAACTTGACTACTTGTTTTGAAGGCAATTGGGTTTACAGTCAACAGGCTGTTCATGAATCCAATACTGCCTGAGTCAGGTCTATAGCTAATTATACTATTCATGAACTCAATTCACTGTTTTGAAGGTGATCAGACCTACAGTTGACGGTGAATCCAGTACTGCCAGACAGACCTATAGTTACCACAGTATTTGGTATCCCTACTAAGAGATAAATCCAGCCGCTCTTAGCCCCTCTAACCTTAGAGGACTGGCTGGAATGCAAGGCCATTCATCTCATATAAAATTGGGCCTCCTCCTCCCCAACAAACCATAACATAGTTCCTCAAATAAACATCTTGTCCTCTGTGAAAACTGCAGCCCACTACTGATACAAAGTCTGATTGCATTTGTTGGTGTGTGACTGATGTCCTGCCTCAGAAACATCTCCTCTTGCTTCCACAGGGTACTCGATAGTCTACCCGAATGCTCTTTGGTCTACTTATAAGTCTGGGAAAGGAATATAAAATGGAGCTCTCTGAGGCTGGGCTCAGAAAATCCTGTAAAATAAAAAACTTTTCTGCTCTCCTGGCTTCCAGCTCTAAGTTTTAAAGCTATCTGATGAAGATGTTCTTTGCTTTTTCAGTCTGTATGTCAGAAAGGGTCTTCTCCTTTGAGTAAGTGACCAAGAATACATGTTTTATGATTACTATCATGCTGCAAGAAGACAGGGTCCAGCATATAGGGACATGGAGCATGAAGTACTCAGGATGAGAAAGCAAAAAAAATAAAATTGTCAAAGACAGATTGTATAAAATCAATTGACAATTGGACAGTGTACAGAATACATTTAATCACACAGTCGGCCAATAAGAGATAGGCAAGGAAAATTGTGAATGTGAATGGTGGCGGGGAGGTGAGGGAGAAGCAGAATCAAAATATTTCTCCCATTTTTTTTTTTTCTTATGACTGAGTCACTAAAATCAAAAGAATAAAGTTGCAGGCTTAGGAAATAGATAACCAGAACTTAATTCTTGCTTTTCCATACAGATTAGAGCTCTGGTCTACACAAACTCTCCAAATAAAATAAAATAAAGACTGGTACCTCTTGCTCAGGATATTTTGCATGTTAAAAGTTATGCTTGTTCAAAAAAATGACTGAACAAATTAAGAAAGTTGGAAGGACTTTCTAACTTTGGAAAGGTTAGGGGAAAGGAAAGGACTACATTGATGGCAATTAAAGGCTAAATAACAGCTCTCGGATCACAAAGGCTAAATTCCCAGCTCTGGGAAGGCTGGGAGAATATTTTGTAGAATGATCACTGTGAGAATATTTTGTAGAATGATCGCTACTGCCCACCTGCCTATTTTTTCAGCTTATCCCATGCATTGCTGTGAGCTGCCACATCAGCTACTTAGCAGAAGTACACTCCTCTACATTCTTGCTCTTTATGCATTGAGGGATTCCAAGGTTGGATAAATCATTAAGTCCATTGGGTCTAAGGATCTATATAATGCAGTCCATGTACTGAGTTCGGAAACCTTCATCTGTCTCACAGGGATCTCGGAAATGGGGAAGATATTTTGTGCTTTAGAAATGTCTTGCAAGAAAAGGGCACAGAATAGTCAAGTTATCTTTTTTCTTTCCTTCAGCAAAATAGTTCAAGTTGCCATCAGAAAGCATGCTTTCTAGCCTTCAAGTACATTTAGTACTTTCCTCCAGGTTTGTCACCTTTTTCTTCCCCCCAATCAAGAAAATGCCTAAGATGTAGGATTCCAACACTCTTGATTGTCACTTTTTGTATTTTTGCACTGACCCAAATGAGTCAGAAAAGACAGAGGACATAGAAGATCCATTCAGGCTAAGAAATCCTGACACTAGACAAAGGCATTGTTGAAAGAGGGTGATTCTATCTTTTTAAGATGTTTACTGATGTTGAACTGCAACAGCAAAAAGAGCAGCTGCAACACGCTTACAATATGAGCAATGTGACCCAAAAGTTTGCAGGCTATTTTCCTGAGGTGGCAACAAACAAATGTGCAGACAGAAGTCCCCAGGAGTTTCTCCAGGTCCTCGGTAGATGCTCTTCTCTCTCTCCCCAGACAAAACTGCCCCAAGGGAGAAGTGACATACTTATGGCAGGGTCCTCACAAGGCAGAAGCCAGGGCTCACAGTGCTCTGAAACAGCTGGTCTCTCTGCACGCACTGAGCCAGCACTTGTGATGCCATCGCTGCTTGGGAAACTCACAGGAAAAAACATTTTTTTCTGATGTCAGGAAAGGTTCATCTGACAAAGTCGTATTTAACTGAAGAAAAATAAAAAAGTGTGGGTTTTTTTTGTCCTTATGAGAACAATGATTATTTTACTATAAGTATTTACAGAAAAAAAATGAAGCCTATATATTGATGATCAGTTAGATAATATTGACATAATTTATTTCCTTTATTTCACTGCGTAGTAACCTTCAGATTTCACAGCTGCATTTTCAACAGCTAAAGAAACATAGCCAAGCCATCATCTAAATGGGGCACAAACCATGTCAACAAGGTGGTTGGTAAGGTTTCTTTTGACTCCTTATTTATTCAGCACAGAACAAACTCTTGGGTGACAGGTTAAATGGAAATTCTGGCCAATCATTAGCAAAGCTGGGCTTTCATTTTGTTATATGTCCCAGCACAATTCAAAGGATTTTGCAACCACTTCATCAACTAGCTTTTTTCCCTTTATTCTTTCTGAACTGTCATGTAGAGCTGTTATACATTAAAACCCAGCTGTCCTCCATCTCCCAAAAGCATGTAAAGCAATTTTACATAACAGTTTGTTGAGGTAGTTGAAACTTTAAATCCACTGATATTTTAAAATCCATTTGCACTGCAATTCAGAATAGAAAAAAAATATATGTTTTCCAAGAGCATAGAAATTCTGAAAAAAGTTTCTTTTCTGAAACCTTCAAAATGTAAATGTGAGATTTACTACACAGCATCTGGGGTCAGTCTAGATTAAGAATAGTTTATAATGATCAAATCCATCCTCATTCAAATATAACTCTATGCACTTTTTGCCTGTACTTGCACTGCTGGAAAGAAGCTTATGTTTTAGAAGTATAGTAATTAGTTTCCAAACTGATAATAGAAAGTAGAGCATTACACTTTTCCTAGGGCTTTTATTAAGATCTCTAGCTTCACTTCCTTCTACATGTGGATCTGTTAACAGAAGATTAACTCTAGTTTTCCAATGTACTCTTATGTTGGAATATTCTGCTTCTTTGACATTATCTGCTAAAGTGACTTAAATTAAAATATATCTAGATTTAGTTAACTGTTGATAAGATTTGTGATTTCTAGGGGCTGAGAATATAGTATATACAAAATAAGTTTTATTATGCTATAAATTACCATGAGGCATCAAATTTTCAAACCAGAGTAATGTATTGCTGAGGTTACTCTAGGTTTAAATCATCAGGACACATCACCATCTGCAACTGTACACAGTGTCTCTAGTGTAAAAGAAGGGTGAAAATATATATAAAATTAATACAGGCATATGTTTAACATACATAAAAGTATCATAAATCATAAGAGTATCCATACTGGATCATGGAAAGGTTCACCTCATTCATATCTATTCAGCACTGGCTAGTAGATGATTGCATATGGAAGAATGAAGTGTATAAAAGTATTTATAAGTATTTCTCCTACCTTATGATCTTCCTCATCCAAAAAATGAGGAGTTGGTATTTGATAACCTTCAGCAGAATTTTCTTCTGGGGATTTATACAGCCCCCTTTTTGTATGCAAGTTTTTGTATTCACAACACCATGCTGTAAAGGAGCTCCACAGCTTAAGCACATGTTCTGGGAAGAATTATCTTTCTGTGTTTCTATTTGAACCAACCCCTGCTAGCTTTCACAGCACCATTTAGAAAGAAGGCACAGAAGTGGGCAGATAATCCTGAGATGAAGGGACAGCATTATCAAATTTCATCTTACAAGAGTTCAGCATTACAAGCAACAAAAGTTATCAGTCTCTTGAGTTTTCCTTCTGTTAGTTTCAGAGGATTGTTCAAAATAAGTAATTTCTGCTTAAACTACCAAAAATGTTGTAGTTAACCTGAGTATAATATAGTATTGACTAGGTAGGGGTTGATATCCTATGCGCTTTATGCACATGATGGACACGTGAATTCTCTAAATCAGAAGTTGTCCTATCTGATATCTTCAGGATATTCTCACTAAAACTCTACGTTCTTGCTTCATCACTCAAACGAAAAAAAAATCTGCTATTGCAACAGGCATTTGGTAGAAATTTTGTAAATTCGTTAATCAGTCCCTGAATAATAGTTTACCTACATTCTGGAGAAGCAGGCACTCAGAGATTTTCTCTGAGACAGAAATACAGAAATTAAAGATGAAATAACTTATTTGATTCATTCTTAAAAAAAGAAATCTATCTTATCTTTTCTTTTTAAAGGAGTCATAAAAAAGCCAAATACAATACAAACACCAATTTTTTTCATACACCAGCCTTGAACCTGAAAATGTAGATACATTTTTCTTATCATTATCAGCTTGCTTAGCTGCTTCTCATCTGAGAGAGTTGAGAGTATGAGAGTTCTGAGTATGATAAAAGAGTTAGATCAAGGCTTTTACCTGTGGAAACTGTGTCCAGATCAGTGTTTGACTGAGACAGCGATGATTATGACAACAAATAGCAGGACAGTCAAAGCGACAGAGAGAAGGCAGCACTTCCTCTTCCTGGCACGTTGCTAAAAGAGGAGGAAAAAAGGAGAAATAAACACATGGACTTTTCAATGGGAAGATGGAAGGTAAACCCATGAAGAAATATTGTTAAGTTTGCATTGCTGGGACTATCTGAGAGATCTCAATACAACACAAACCCTGTCTCTTCCTCTGGATTGGCCCATTCTTCTGAATGACTCATGTTTCTCTCATTAATATACGCTTTCATCTACTAAATGATGTTTTTGTACAACGGCTTTGCCTTTGCAACCTTCACTTCTGGACAAGTAACATGGTCGAATCATAGAATCATAGAATCATAGAATGCCGAAGGTTGGAAGGGACCTCAGAGGTCATCGAGTCCAACCCCCCTGCTCACGCAGGGTCACCTAGAGCACGTGGCACAGGGCTGCATCCAAGCGGGTTTTAAAGATCTCCAAAGAAGGAGACTCCACAACCTCTCTGGGCAGCCTGTTCCAGTGCTTTGTCACCCTCACAGTGAAGAAATGCTTCCTTAAGTTCCTGTGGAACTTCCGATGCTTCAGTTTGAAGCCATTTCCTCTAGTCCTATCCCTGCCCACCACTGAAAAGAGGCCGCCCCCCTCCTCCTCACTGCCTCCCTTGAGGTATTTATACACGCTGATCAGGTCCCCCCTCAGCCTCCTCTTCTCCAGGCTGAACAGACCCAGCTCTCTCAGCCTTTGTTCATATGGTAGATGTTCCAGGCCCCTGATCATCCTGGTAGCCCTGCGCTGGACTCTCTCCAGCAGCTCTACATCCCTCTTGTACTGGGGAGCCCAGAACTGGACACAGTACTCCAGATGTGGCCTCACCAGGGCTGAGTAGAGGGGGATGATCACTTCCCTCGACCTGCTGGAGACGCTTTTCTTAATGCACCCCAGGATCCCGTTGGCCTTCTTGGCCACCAGGGCACAGTGCTGCCTCATGGTCATCTTGTCGTCCACCATGACACCCAGGTCCCTCTCTGCGGGGCTGCTCTCCAGCAGGTCCACCCCTAATCTGTTCTGGTGTCCAGGGTTATTCCTCCCCAAGTGCAGGACCCTGCACTTGCCCCTGTTGAACCTCATGAGGTTTCTCGCCGCCCAGTCCTCCAGTCTGTCCAGGTCTCTCTGGATGGCAGCACAGTCCTCAGGGCTATCAGCTACTCCACCCAGTTTGGTATCATCGGCAAACTTGCTGAGGGAGCACTCCAGCCCTTCATCCAGGTCGTTAATGAATAAGTTGAACAGGACCGGACCGAGAACTGACCCCTGGGGGACACCACTAAGTACAGGCCTCCAGCTGGACTCCGCACCATTGACAACCACTCTCTGCACCCTGCCATCGAGCCAATTCCTAATCCACCTCCCCGTCCACACATCTATCCCACACCTTTGGAGCTTGCCCAGGAGGATGCTGTGAGGGACASTGTCAAAAGCCTTGCTCAAATCCAGATAGATGACATCCACTGCTCTGCCCTCATCTATCCAGCTGGATATTCCTTCGTAGAAGGTGATCAGGTTAGTCAAGCAGGATTTCCCCTTGGTGAATCCATGCTGGCTACTCCTGAGYACCTTCTTCTSCTCCATGTGTCTGGAGAGAGCAGCCAGGATGAGCTGTTCCATCACTTTCCCGGGGATGGAGGTGAGGCTTACCGGCCTGTAGTTACTAATGCATGCCAAAAGTTCAGAGCACAAACAACAAACCTGCTGGGGTGTCCTGTTTTCTTTTAAAGTTGATCAATGCCAAGTCAAGCCAGGAAACCTCTGCCTAGAGCTACAAAATGTCTTAAAAGTCAGATGTGCTTGTTCGCTTCTAAAATGTCAGAGCTTTAGTTCTGTCAGAAGATGATGTCAATGGTCATTTAGTATCTCAAATATTCCTAAGGAGATTTTCTAGGGCTACACGGGATCACTTAGGGTGGCATTTCCATGTGTCTCTTACTCATGGATGCTCTGTAGTGAAATGCTCATTTCAGTACCTACCCAAAGAACATCTTAACCATCTGGAGAACAAGTAGCTTTATTGTCTGGTAGCTTCAGCACCAGTCAGGACTGACCCAGTTCAACATGTGACATTAAAGGCTGGACTGATTTGACTGTTTCTGGAGAGAGCTAAGCATGGTGTTAAGACCAATCAGGCATGATTCAGACAAGGAGCTGCTAGCTTTTCTATTACCATGCTGAAAAGTTCTCGGTATCTTTGCTGAATCAGCATAGCCCCAGTCAGCTCAGGTGTTTTATTATGATTTTCTATCTTTTTGCCTTTTTTATCCCTTGTTTTCAAGATTTTAACGGAAAGGAAGAGGAAAGGATATTTGGGAAGAATTTTGCTTAATTGCATCTCCTGTAAAGCAGTCGATGCTACCAGATGACAGGAGACAGACCTGGAAGGGACATATCTCCTATTACCAGGCTGTGTCTCAAAAAATCTCTACTAATATAATTCCACAGATATACACCTAACTTACCTTTAGAAATAATCACTGATGTACAAAAGAACTTGGGACTACAAGGGGAAAAATAAAATTGTAATTAACTCTCCTCCTCCTCACACACTCACACATCCACACACAAGATCCTAGAGAGGATGTGGATATATCCACCCTTGAAACTAGGCCTGTTTTCAGTGGGAGTTTGGACAGGGACCTTCAGAGGCCTATTCCAACCTATCTCACTTTATGTTTCTATGATTATGATCCCTTGAATTAAGCTTAATCTGCTCTTATGTGGAAGTGATAATCCATTTCCAAATCTACAGACAGACCTCTTCTCCCCCAGGCAAGTTCCCTGCTGCCCTGAGACAGATGCTACCAGGTTTGTATCTTGGAATTAGTAACCTCAGAATAGTACCGCTACAAATACAAAAAGGAAGGAAAAAGAAAAAAGAAAAATGTATTATTTATTTTAGGACATATATTTTTAAGATATTCTCCTATGCTTCAGACTAAATACCAGCCAGTTTCATGACTCTTTTTCCTGTTTTTCCTTTCCTCAGTTACTGGAAATGTTTCTTTCTCATTGCCTACATCAATCAATGCAATTCCTTATTTTCTTCTACTTTGGTGGGCCCCAGCAGGGGAAGTACTGAAGCCTCCTCTCAGTCCCTGGTGCATGGGGCTATTAGCACAGTAGAGATATCAAGAGAGTTTGATCCCCCACACAAACTGAATCTTCATTTTTTTTTCTATTTATTTCTAAGAATTATCAACTAAAATTGAGAGAACAGTTTTTTCAGAGACTTTTAGGTTTCCTCATAAATTCCCAGAGATGCCAAAAGATATAGCTGCTTGCTCCATCCTTTTCTCTACCTGGAAAATATGGATATTATAGTAGAAAGTATAGAAGAAATTTATCATTAACTTTTTCTGCTTTCATTTTAATTCTATTATATTCTGACCCTAGGTTGGAATACCATTGTACTGCACTGCTCTACTTCTGTAGCTCTGCCCCTCGCTGTTGTAAGACCATTTCCCATGATATATAGATTTTTTTGATGAAATTGGAGCTAATCTGTTTTCATTGCACACATTTGCCCAAGATGGAGAGAGAAAGAAGGAAAAAAAATATTGTGGGGAAAAAAATAAAAATTTACTGTAAGTAATGGCTTTTTGCAGTTATTTTTGCTGGGCTCAGGTTTTAATAGTAACACATAGTATGGGTAAAGAGAATTTTTAATCCTGACAGAAGCTCTTTAAACACACACGTGAAATCCACAGGAATGAAAAGCAGGGCAGGAATCAGCAAGGTTATTTGGAGACACAAGTGAAAATTACTTTATATTGACAGGAGATGTGGATGTGCCTGAGTCTGGAAGACTCCTTTTCCCTCACTGCTTCATCAAAGGAGCTGCAGGTCTCATTTTACAGCCTAGGAGAACTTTCTTTCTCAGGGGTGAAACGTGAAATGTTAAAAGGTATTTTAATTATGTCACAACGGATAGTTAAGTAATTACAAGCCATTAAAGTCCACTGCAGCCCTAGGCCCAGAAAAGCAAGCTGTAGCTTAGAAATTTGTAAGCAAGCACAGTTAAAAGGAGTAAAAATAATGATTGTAGCTAAGGATTCAAGAGCTGGCTAGGGAAAGAATAAATAAAAAAGCAAATGGGTCCAGAGGAAAACAATAATCCTATACTTATACAGAACAGAAAACATGGAGTCAAAACCCTGAAGGATTTTGATTCGCTTGTGGAAAAGTAGCATCGTGCTCCTCTATTTCCCATTGTCGTATTCCTCTCTTGCTCTGCAAAGCATAGGGCAAAGCAGTTTCCAAAACTGGCTGTATTAAAGAGGTTAAAAGCCCTGAAAACAGGTATATCAGTTCACGCAGATGTCTGCTGTTACATCTAGTCTATTCTGGTCATCTTAGAGCAAGATACAGAACTTCAGAGCAGAGACAGAGGAAAGACCTAGAGGCTCCATGGTGTGGCATTTTCTAGGTCTCCTGCAGCACAAAAGCCATGTTTAAAAAAAAAAAAAAAAATCAGGAAGCATTTTTCAACAGTAAGAATTACTACAAGAAATTCTGGTAGCATCATGCCAGGGCAATCAGGGCAATTTCCATTGTAGATATATCCGCTATGGAGATCTGATTCCTGCAAACCCATCCAGGTAAACAAATAACCACAAAATAAATTTACAAAAATAAAACCCACATAATAGCAGCCTGCAGTTGTTATATTAGGTCAGACTCATTTTTAGAGGCCTCTGTTGGGCGATGAAAAAAAATCACTTTGATTAATTTTGAAGTAGTTTTCTTCACTGTAGGATTAACAAACCTGTTTGACACAAAATGGTACATTTTATATGCAAATCTCCATAGAGAGGCTTTTGTGACATTAAAAACATTTGTACCATTTTGTTTCCCCTGCCCTCAGAGGTCATCTGGACTAAAGAATTTTTCTATGCACTTAATAAGCATTTTTGAAAGCTAATTTGAGGTCTGCTGAATTGAGAGCCCAAGTCTGTGTTTACTTTTGGACATGTTTATATAGAGATGATGTTGTGAATCTGCAAATACTGCCACTC